GACGGCAGTCTCCGTCATCCCAAACAGCGGGAAATACACTTTGGGCACGGGCCAGGGATTGCCCGGGTGGATCTCGTAGTTGACGATGATGAACTGTTGATCGTAGTAGAACTGGGGCTTGGAGCTGCTCGTTTCCGCGGCTGCTGGCTGCTGGGCCGTGGCGGTGATCTTCCCAACCGAGCCGCGATCACCGGTTTTCGGTGCACAGGCGAAGGGAAGATGATACCCCTCGCGGATCTCGAGGATTGACCACAGCTCGCGCAGGATCTCCAGCCCGCGTTCGATGCCGGGACAGTCGTCCTCCCGCAGCCGGCCACCCAGTGTCCACAGCTCGGCCAGCCGGTCCGGATTCACGATGTAGTCGTGGATGTAGAACTTGAAGCGCGTGCGCGCGATGTCCACCAGGTCGCACCCGAACTGGATCATGCCGCGCGGGTGGAAGGAGGTCGGGGAGGCGGGAATCATCGCGTCCGGCGTGCCCTGTCCCTCGTCCAAAAAGGCCTGGATGGACTGCAGGCCCGCTTCAAAACGGCGGGTGGCACCCTGGTCTACTTTGCGAACAGCCTCGAGGGACAGCGTCGACGCTGGGGTGTCGGTCGCCATCGACTTGCCGACGACAAAGGTGTACAGTTTGACGGTCATCTTGCCCTCCTTGCGCAGATCCAGGGCGATGCCGCTCTGCGTTTTGAAGACCGGGGGCAACGGGCTTTCTGTGGACAGCAGGCGGTCTTCTTCCTGCTTTGTCAGGGTGAGGTCGCTGACGAGTTGCTGGTAGAGTGATAGGTCGAGATCGATGCCGTCGATTTGGGCGTATCGAGCGAGGACCTCCGGAGTAGCGAGTCGATTGAATAGGTCTTTTCCGGGGATGCCGGCGAGGTAGCTTGTTGGCTGGAAGGCGAGCCGGATGATGCAGCCTGACTCCTGGAAGTTCTGGCTAAACTCGAGGTTGAAAACGCCCCGGTACTGGTTGGGACGCGGGTTGGTCGGGGATGGACCCAGTGCGGGCACGACGTGCTGGGCGAACAAGGCCAGGTACTGGTACTGTTTGTGGACCTCGTAGTTGGCGTTCTGCAGCATCTGAGTGAGCACGGGCGCCGCCCGATGCCACCAGTCGTGCTCATCTTGGTTTTGGAAGAGGAGGCATTGGCTCAGGGTGTGGTATGGAGACAGCGCGGTGGGTAGTTTGGTGGCCATGATGTGAATTTATTGTATGCTATGGTGCTGGATGCAATCAACCTTACGTTGATTAATTTGATGAGGCACGGCAGGGGCCTCTAGTCTTTGTGGCAGATATAAAGCAGTTTATATCATCTACATAAAGCCAGATAAGTTGAGTCCGAGGCCGGACGAGCATTAGGTCCCCTCTCTTGATGTCTTGAGGGATGTTGGTCTGCCTGACCTGACATTGTTCCAAAGCCGAGCCTTGCAATCTGCCTTCGTGAACATGCCAGCCAATTAAATTGTCATATAAACGAGTTGAGACATTAGGCTGGCTAAGTCGGCTCAGCCCTCGGAGAATTCACTCGGCTTGTTAGGCTTCATGGAGATATATGTTGCCGCCAAGCGATTCTACCAAGGGTTTGTTTCGTGGACAAATGGTCGCAAACAACCACGAAAACGAAGTCAAAGAATAGAAACAGACAAATCAGTAACGCCAAGTACATGCAAAGAGAACAGGATTGGTATGATATCGTATGCAGGGCCTCAGGGGACCCCACGTGTAGAAACAACTCAGGGTATGCAAGGCCATACGAATCTAACAGAAGCGAATGATTGCACTAACTGACAGCACTGGTATAACGAAAATAAACCCCTCGTGTCGGATAATATCCCACCGTCTGGATCGTGTCTACTATTTTTTCCAGGCTGCGTGAGAGAGAAAGAGTCTATGTGGAAGGCATTACGGCGTGGAGGAGTCACATGGCTTGACAGCCCCCGCCCCCCGGGTCGATCAACAGTTTTGTCAACCTCGAAAAACCCTGCTATAGTCTTACCAGGTTGCGGCAGTGCTAACAATATATCATTCTATGCGTCGTCCCAAGTGACGAGCGCACGACCAATCACCGAGGGGCGCCGACGCCAGGATCTTTGAAAGCTCCGCGTCCGCTTGGCAGAAGCCTTCCTCATCGCCATCTCGAGCAGTGAGCACCCGCATTCGCTCGCGCAGCTCTTCATCGACCATCCTCTCAAAAGATTCCTTCCCCACCCCGGTGCCCTCATCACCGAACACGCTACACAGCTCCGCACGGATGCGCGCCCTCAATTCGAGCCGCCAGCGGGCGGCGGAGAAGGAGCTCGCGAGGACGGTGTCGCGTAAGCCCTCGTAGTGCGGCCAGGCCCGGAGCTCCTGGATGGCCTGCCAGCGCACGTGCAGGTCCGGACAGGAGTCGGCGACCACCCGCAGCGGCAGGATCACGCCCGAGTCGACCATGACCGTGGGCCGCTCGGGGAACTGGGCGATGATCGTGCGGGCCAACGACAGGATGGCCGCGTGGTCGGCCGTGAATGCCTGGACCTGGGCCGGCTGCAGGTGCGCTACCATCGACATCCGTAGCCCCACGGAGTATGTCATCAGGTGCAGCCGCAGCAGGTCGACGCCGCGCTTGTGTTTTGGAGAGAGGGTGGCATATTTGAGGGCGCAGAAGTTATCAAGGGAGCGTGTGGCGTGGTAGACCTCTGAGAGCAGGTTGGTTTGGGTGGCCTGGAAGTCGGAGTCGTGAGCCACCATCGCCTCCGCGGACGCAGTGCCCCACCGGTGGAAGAATTGGTAAATGGCACTATCGAGGGGCTGGAGGGCCAGGCGTAGGTCGTCGACGCTTTGCCCGAGCAGGTCACGGTCGCGGTCGTTGCTGAGGAGGATGTGCTTGCGTGGCGCTGAGTCGGCACCGAGTTGTGAACACTCACGAGGATTGAAATGCGTTGACTGAATTTCGAGCTGCGCGAAGGCTGCGACGAGATGGATATCTATTCCGGCACCGCCGAGTAAAGAACCATTGAGGGAACCGCAACGGCCTGACCCAGATTCTTGGAATACCCGCAAGCCAGCTTGCAGATGTCGGAAAGCAGTGTTATAGTCTCGTTGCAACAGGCTCAAGTACACGAAGAGCAGACAGCAGAGAAGGGTGACTTGCCGCATCTGCGGGTCCTGAGGGTTGCGCCGACGGAGGAGCTCAAAAGCGCGAGCGGACTCCTCGAGCGCATAGAAATACCAAACGCCTCTTCGTTTTGCACCGTCGCCGGGGAGATTGATGCCTTGCAAGACCACTTCTTGGTGAGCCGCTCCCAAGGCGATGGCGGCGTGGCACACGGCAGGCTCGAGATTCGCCATCTGGAACATGAACTGCTCCCATAACTGGGAGTCATAATACCCGAGAGCATCGGTGATGGTGCGGTCGCCAAAAAAACTTAAAGCAGCGACGTTGATCTGATGTTACAGCCCAGCGAACATGGGTGTTGACCGGGGTAGAAAGCGAGAGGGAAAGGTCCCTCCCGCGCTTGGCTGCCACGGGTAGACGATAGACTTCATACCCGTCGCAGAGTCGTCCGGTGGACGAACAATTACGACACTTCTCGGCTGTCTCATCACATTTAATTCGTCGGATTCGGCATGTGCGACAGCCCGTCTTCGATCGCTTGCCACCGAAGCGGCGCTTTTGTGCAGGCTGTGGGAGCATGCCGTGAGAGTATGCTCGTTGCGTTGCGGGTGAGTATGTGGCAGAAACATGTCGAAGTGAAAGAGGCGTGATCTCAGCGAGGGGGAAGGCGGTGTCGACACTGAAATGAGGCTCTGGACAGCAGATCGAATGAGACGACACGCATTAGTGTCAAGCTAATGGCTTAGCTTCTGCCTGGACGATCCGATGCCGCATGGAATGTTGGCGCTGGGCTACCAGGCACTCATGTATCTGATTATCTAGGGATCTTCGGTTCTATGGCCAATGACCATCCGATCACCACTATGCGCAGTCCCTTCGACAACCATGTCTCGGAGCCATCCGTTTGCGGCATGCTCTCCCAGCGTTGAGCTCGGGATAATCCGTGCAGAGATCCCGAGCTTATCGCCGATCATAGTCGAGTTGCTCAACGCCGGCCAAGCTACTGCATGCCTGGTGAGAACAATGCTGCAAAGGTTCTCCGTGCTGCTCATGGTCGAGCACGAGCATGGCGCTGACAAGTGTGATTCTTGCTCGACATGGGCATCACGTCATTAGTCAGGCTCAAAGGACAAGACGTTGCTCCCGGAAAAGGTAACACGCAAAGATACCTAGTAACTGAGATGCAGTCGGAATAGTCTGTCTTAACTTGAGCAGATAATGGCTGGATAGCAAAGTAGAGATGTTGACGATGACGAATTGTGGAAAGCGGAAAGTTCCGCGCTCCTCAGGGCTCAGGTAGATGTGGCGGTGGCAGTAAGTTGACCGCCTTGAGGCGTATATCTTCAGGCACCAAGGCACCTGGAATACAGGCACCAAGGCTGCCAGGCCGCAGGTGGAACACACTTCTCTCCGCCTGCTTCCACAACTTCATCTACATCAACCAGAGAGGGCGTTCTCCGTTTCAGCTTGGTCATTCACGGTACTAACAGTACTTGGAATACGTCACTCGAGTTATTCGAAGATACACAGACTGGCCTGTGCGTCCAACCCGCGAATCGGGGCTTCTGGACTTACCTTACAAACAGTCGCGTTCAGCTGCCCACAAGCGTGATGTGAGATAGGCAGCACCATTTCCGTCAGTATATTGCAGTTCACGCATGCAAACATACTCTTCCAGAGTCACCGAATTGATGATACACCTTAAGCCCGAAGCTTGAAATTCCGAGGTTGTTGTGCGCGGAACACAACCTCAACGATTCTTATGCAGCGAGCGACACTGTCAACGGCTTTTTTGTACGGTCGGGGCCTGAATTTACTATACCACAGGGTGTCGCACACCACATCCCCTCTCATCAAGGTATTGTTGAAAGTCTTTGGAAATCAAAACCTTATGCTCTCTTGGTCAGAAGTAGCCTGACGGGATTTCCGAACGTCACGAAGCTCGGTGCAGCACTCCTGGCTTCGTTTGCCTGCAACGCCACATCTCGTATTGCAGTACCTCGAGAAGGATCAACAACCCTTGATGGTCAACTGATTGAACTAAAGCGCACTCCCCGGAGTGGTTGACAGACTTCTAAGTGGAAATCTGCGCATGGAATATTGCAGTCATGAAATGCATCGTGCACCAGCTTTCGATCAAATTGTTCCGACGTCACTGACCTGGTTGACCTCGGACGGCTCGTGACGCTTTTCTAAAGCACGGAAGCATAAAAGCATGACAGCATCCCTCGATCCAAAACATCTAGACTCGATGTGGGGAGTGGGGCATCGGGACCGGATTCACGGTAAGGCTCTGACTCCAGATCTTGGGTTCGTGGGAGGCCGTTCTCAGGGACGGAGAAACATCGTCCTTTCGCATGGAACACATCATTGCTGTTTCTGGCCCGCATTACAGCCCAGAAGCCCAGCCGCAACCGCGTCGCGGGACAGGTACTGAACGCGGTGGAACGTGGGAGGCGTGAGGCACGCCGGCCATGATACAAAAATATGGTACAAATCTGACTTGTAGCTGCCTTAGTGCGCTTGGGCTTCCAGTGCTCAGCCCCATCACTTCCAGAGAAGGACAGCAACAGCACATGACACTCATGCTCTAACATCACTAAAGGTGTGGTGACAAAGCGCTTTACCCCTGGTTGGGTCCGGGGTATCGCATGAGCGAGCCCGGGCGCCCAGCGAATCATTATTGAAGGCGTCAGCCTCGTATCATGCACGAACACGAGCAAAGACCCTGCAGCCCCTTCCTGTGGCCAATAACTTCCGACTTCCAACCACATCGATCGGCATTTCCCATTTGGTGGCATCAGCCATCTGCACGCGCTATTATGAAAATGTAGCGTTCTAGCGAAATATGCATCTGCAAGCGATTGGATTTAAGTCAAACCCCGGTCAAGGTCAAAATAGGTGTCTGCTCAAGCCTTCTCTGCCACAGCATGAAAAGCCACCCAGAATGCCAGAAATTCCACCCCCGCTATCTGATGGCGTCGGGTCGTAGAAGAGAGGAGGTTCTTTGAACAGGTCCAAGTCCCTGCAGCTGAACATTTATAAGCCAGAGTCTGAACTTTGACCCCAGCTAGCATCACTGCTGAAGAATTTGCTGTCTTTTGTTTTCGAGCCCTCGCACGCGAGTTGCGGAAAATAAGAGCCATGTCTGCGGCGCTCTACACCTACACGGGAGTCTGGATCAACTGGTCCGAGGGAGCGATCCGGGGAGCCACCTTGACTTTGTCGCAGACCAACTCCGGCATTTTGAGCGCCTTTCTGGCTATACTTGTTTCCCTCGCAGGCAGTCTGTTCTGGAGTATTCTGAGCTTTACACTCCATCAAACTGGGACTACAGCCCCTGATCGGCGGCGGGATGCTCTCCACTACCAGCGACAGGTCATCCTGCGCAACAAAGGGGCAGCTGCCGCGGCCTGGGCTCTGCTAACTCTTCCCTTTGAGACAGGGCGAACAGCGTCAAAGTTCAGGGCTGTCGGCCGATCGCTACCATTGGCACTCCTGCCCATCCTCGTTCTTATCCTGTTCGGTGTATCTGGTCTGTTCACAAGTTACATCACCAAGGCGGCCGGCAAGTCGACGCTCATCATCGGTCCAGGCTGTGGGGGCTACTCGTTCAACGCCACGGACGTGACCGTCAGCAACACCAAGGGTCTGCAAGATACCTACGACGCTGCCACATACGTCCGCCGCTGCTACCAAGAGGACGCGAATGAGCTCGATTGCAGCACCTACATCCGACCCAGCCTGCCGTTTACCACCAACCCGAATGCTTCCTGCCCGTACGAACCCGATCTCTGCGCGGACGGTGGCAACGCGGCCCTCCAGATGGACACAGGCTTACTCGATTCGCATGAGGACTTTGGGATCAACGCACCCCCGCACAACCGAATCAAATACCGACGGGTCACCACCTGTGCCCCGGTCAAGCACGGGTCCGGGCTCGGCAGCGTGCAGAACGACTCAACATGGGGCCAGATTGTCTACATCAATGCCGGATATCAGTATTATATGGGTGAACCGTACCTGAACTACACATTCTCGTACACCCCGATCCCAAGCGTGGATGGCGTTGGCTACACACTGAGGTGAGTGTTGGTATCACAAATTAGATTTCAGACGAACCGCACGCTGACCGACGCAGCGCTGTCTTCGCCAAATCCGACCCCAGCGGACTCCTGAACGGCCTCGAGTCATGGAAGCCGACCGCAGCGATCAACCAAACCGACGCGGACATCACCATGATGATGCTGAACCAAAACAACATCAACTACCTCCAACCCAGCTACGACCCGTGGATGACCGCGCTCGAACAGCAAAACTACAGCATCGAGGGGACAAACGTCACCTCGTCGATGTGGACCAAGAGCTACGAGGTGAATTTGTTGGTATGCACCGACCAGTACCAGATCTGCAACCCCAACCGCCCCGGGCCGGACGGGTGCACCAAGCTCGGCGGGATTCTGAGCACCTCGCTGTCCACCTTCACCATCGACCCGACCAAATTCCTCGGATTCAACGTGTACCAGATCGCGACGATCGGCCGGTTTGTGTCGGGCAACAACGACCGGAGCATGTACTCCAACGTGAACGGCCGCGGCGGCGCAGCGTTAAATGGTGCGTGGCCTATCCACCCCAGCACAATTCCCTCCTCCACACTCCCTCCCCACCTCTAACTCCGACCCAACTAACAACAAATCCAGCCTCCTCAATCGCCTACAGCAACATCCAATTCTACATCCCGCCCACCCAATGGCAAACCGAAGTAACAACCTGGTTCGCTACCTCGCTGGCCAAGGAACAAGCCTGGGCGGTGGAGTGGGCCACCGCGCCGAAGAACTTCCCGGCGACCTCGCTGCTCGACCAGTCATCGGTGGGGTGGAACGTGACGGCGCCGCTGAGCAGCTACGCGCGCGTGCAGTGCACCAACCAGCTCGTGCACAACGCCGCGGGGTACGCCAACTTCTCTGTGCTGGGGCTCGCGTTGACAGTGGGCGTGTGCGGGCTGATTATCATCGTTGGGCTGAGTGTGGATTCTGTGGTGGGCTGGCTGCGCGGGAACGGACGGTGGAGGTATATGCGGGAGCAGTGGGCGGTGGAGGAGACGTTGAGTCTGCATCGCGCGGCGTATATGGGGCTGGGGATGTGGAGGGGCGATGATCCCGAGGGGATGGTGCCGAGTTCGGTGGGGTTGGAGTTGGGGAAGGGGGTGCCGGGGCACATGGCCGGGGGAAATGAGGGTGAGGATGTGGGGATGAGGATGAAGGATGGGTATGCGGTTGTTGGGCATGAGGTGAGTTAGGGTTGGGGTTGTTTGCTTCGTTTTTGGCTGTGTGGGTAATGGTAATGGTGTTAAAGAGGATGAAGCTGTCAAGGAGGTCGGTTTGGAATTGGAAGCTGCTGAGACTCGCGGTGATACCTAGTTCTGCTACTGTATCGCCTCAGTCAACTGTATGACATGTATTGAAGGTGGTGGACGCTATCGTGGTGGGAAATAAGGCATTTGATCGAGATATATACTCCGCTACAACGACGTGGATGCCCGGGGTTGAGGCTCTTGGCACACTTCGAAAGCATGAGGCTGTTCGGGAAACTCGCCATTAGTCACACTTTTCTAACTATTACTATGCTAACAAATCTCCAACAAGCAATCGCTGCGCATATACAGTAAAAAAGGGGTTTTTAGAATTGCTTCTGGCACGGTAAGTAAAAGCTCGTGTTCACTCCACTATGCGCAATTCAGATGGCCGCATTGGGCATAGCCCTAAGATGCAGCAACTACATCCACGTGACTCCAGCCACCCCAAAAGGGGAACTGGTTTGTAGAGCTGGAGGGAGTTCCAATATGACGGGACAATTAGACTGGAACAGCATGCCGGGATTGCAAGACCGCTTCTTCAAGCGAAACGCTGGTTGGTGGCGCGCTCGTATTCATATAAGCACCGAGTGACGAGGAGGAGCCCGACCTCCGCCCCACCATTCCCGTGCTGCAGTCAGTTATTATGAACTGCTGAACCACCCAGAGCGAACTTCCAACGGCAACCCAGGCTCCTCAGAATTACTGCTTGGCTGGCTATCAGACGACCTGATGACCTTCTACGCACGCGCCCGACGGCAGAAGCACCTGAGCATCCACGACCCGGCGGTGCGGTCGCTGCGCTTGGCGGTGCTCAAAGCGGCGGGGATCAACCTGCTGGTGCTGCAGCTGCTGTTCCTGGGGCTGTTTTGCTACCTGTTCGGCTCGCTCTTCCAGCAGACGACGCATGTGCACAATCTGAACGTGGTGTTCGTGGACTACGACGGCGGCGCCATCGGGGAGGCTGTCCGCGCCGCGTACCAGCAGCTGCAGGGCCCGGGGTTCCCAACCCTAACCGAGCACGCGACGGCGCAGTATCCCCAGTCGGACACTATCACGACCGCCGTCTGCCACATTGACTACTGGGGCGGGCTGTACATCGCTCCGAACGCATCGGATCAGCTAGCCGCCGCTCTCGCCAGCGGCGCACCGCACTCCCCCGACGAGGTGCTCACCCTGGTGTGGAACGAAGCGCGCTACTCCACCGTGGTGGACTCGGCCATCTACACCAGCATGCAAACGCTCTCCAACGCCGCGCGCATCGCCTACACCAGCACCATCGCCCCAAACATCTTCACCAACACCACCAGCACCAACCTCACCACCACCCTCACCACCCTCTCCCAACCCTGGACCCTAACCTCCACCAACCTGCAACCCACCACGCAAGGCTCGCGCCTCATCTACAACACACTGGTAATAATCCTCATCATGATCCAAGAATTCTTCTACCTGGGGTACATCAACAGCGTCTACCAACAATTCCACCTATACACGACCGTCGCCCCGCACCGAATCGCAATCATCCGGCAACTGCTGGCGGGGACCTACACGATGCTGGGCTCGCTCTCCACGACCGGCGCCGTCTGGGCCTTCCGGTACGGCTGGCGCGTCTCCGGGGCGCAGTTCGTGCTCACCTGGCTGGCGCTGTGGCTGTTCGCGCACCTGAACTTCCTGGTGCTGGACCTCTTCACGATCTGGATCCCGCCGCCCTTCGTGCCGATGGCGTTCATCTCGTGGATCGTGGCCAATGTCACCTCCATTCTGCTACCATTTGAGCTGGCGCCGGCTTTCTATCGGTGGGGGTATGCGTTGCCCGCGCATGCGGTGTTCCAGGTGCTCGTGGATGTCTGGTCCCGTGGGTGTAATCCCCAGTTGGGGTATGCACTTCCTATACTGTTTGGGTTTGAGGTGCTCGGGTTGTTGGGAAGTACGGTCGGGGTGTATCGCAGGGCACATTATGCGGTCCTGGCGATGGAGAGGGAGGAGAGGGGGTGGCAGGAGAAGGTCGCTGCTGCTGTTGCGGCGGCGGTGAAGATGAAGGAGAAGGGGGAGGGAGAGGGGGAGGGGGAAGGGGAAGGGGAGGGCTCGGCGGGGACCGGGCAGGTTGCGGATGCTGCTGTTACCGCGGCAGGGACAGTCTCAGGGGAACAGCAGCTACAGCGAGAGGAAGAGGAAGAGCGGATGGATCAGCTTGCCCGAGAATTGTCGCAGGTGGAGAGGTCGGCTACTCGCAGGCAGAAGCCGGGGCCTTGTTTCGATTTGCCGTTCACTGAATGATTCGGGGGGGGGTGTGGTGCTGCCGGTTGAGCAATTGCACACAGTGTTGATATTATAGAGTCACACGTGGTGTCGTCCAAAAGTGACTATCATGTCTACTGATACTGATCAAGTCATATACCTAATCCGAAACTCTTGTCTATTGTACTGCCGAATGCGGTATATGGGCATGGCTGCCTGAGGCGTGGAAATAATCTAGTCGAGGAGCTTCCTGCCTCAGGCGGCAAGCAATCCTTCAGCCGAGCCGCCCAATGAGCATCAACAAATTTGTGCTCCAGCACAGATGCACAGCTGAGTCATCCATTGTGCACAGAGCTTTCATAACCTGCCACCCACGCATCATGCATCCGCGTATGCAGCCCGCCGATATCGGCCCTCGAACAACCGCACCAGAAGCACTATATAAACCCACCGTACAGGGCCCCATCACACCAACATAAACCCACCCACAAAGCAGCTCTCTCTGTTCACAATCACTCCTCATCTCTCTCTTCATCCTAAAGAAACATACCTCACCCAAACCCCCACCCAAAATGAGTGAAAAAGCCACCTACACGCACGGCCACCACGCGAGCGTCCTCCGCAGCCACGGCCAACGCACCGCCCAAAACAGCGCGCAATTCCTGCTCGCCCACCTCCAACCACACCACCAGATCCTCGACATCGGCTGCGGCCCCGGCACTATCACCGTGGACCTGGCCGCCCACGTGCCGCAGGGCCACGTCACCGGCCTCGAGATGGCGGGCGCCATCCTGCCCGACGCCCGCGCGCTGGCCGCATCCCGCAACCTCACCAACATCGACTTCGTCGAGGGGGACGCCAACGCCCTGGCCTACGCGGACGACACCTTCGACGTCGTCTTCTGCCACCAGGTCCTGCAGCACGTCGCGGATCCGGTCGCCGTGCTGGCCGAGATGCGGCGCGTGTGTAAACCGGGGGGCATCGTCGCCGCCCGCGAAGCCGATTACTCGGCCTTCATGTGGTACCCCGAGCTGCCGGAGTTGCGGCGGTGGCAGGAGCTGTATGACGCTGTGGCCCGGAAGAATGGGGGCGAGCCGAATGCGGGACGGTTCGTGCATGTGTGGGCGCGGCGGGCGGGGTTTGATGCGGGGGCGGTGGAGTGCAAGGTGAGCGCGTGGTGCTTTGCGACGCCCGAGGAGGTCAGCTGGTGGAGTGGGACGTGGCAGGAGCGGGCGGTGAAGTCGGCGTTTGCGAAGGGGGCGGTCGAGAATGGGTTTGCGTCGGTGGAGGAGCTGGAGGGCATTTCGGGCGTGTGGAGGGACTGGGGCCAGGATCGGGATGCGTGGATTGCGATTCCCAGTGCGGAGGTGGTTTGTCGGAAGTAGCCCGGTTTTGCTTGTGGATATTTCGGGGGCGTTGATGTACATAGACAGAGATGCATGCTTGTTGGCTAGGGCAAGACCTTGCTTTGGATCACGAGAGAGAACTTATTCGTGAAGGTTTGGGCACATCGCCCAATCTCCAAGCGCGAGATACTAGAATCATTAAGGGTGTCAATACCTGGGGTACTTCATATCCATGGCTGGGTGCGCCTTGTCCGACAAATAACTGGATTGATATTCCCCGAGGAAAGGGGGGTAGGAGCCCGGCAGGATGCTTCTACCTGCCTGAAGAGGTGATCGACACACTGCTGGAGAATTAGGGGTTATTGCAGCGGCTTCTTCGCTAGGTTCATGGAAGTAGAATTTATTTGGAATGAATGTATCAGGACTATTGCAATGTGGCACGGGCAGCCTATCGTCAAATGAGCTAATATAAAGAATACCATATTGATGATAAGACATCCGATGATTCTTAATTGTGGTATCGAGGCAAAAGGTAAAGGTCGAGAGCCAAATGACGATAAATGGACTTCCAGTCAAGCAATATTCGAAATAGTGCATAATTGGGTCAATGGGGGCTTTGGTGAGACCTTGTATGGGAATAGGCCAAGGGGATATGATAGTGCAGGCACTTTCACCAGGTGAGTGGCTCTCAAGCCCTTCTCCGAGTAAGTGCTCCTCCCTTCCGTATAGTCTAAACAAGCACAATCGGAGTCGGCTGTTTGAGCGCTTGTTCGACACGGAATACGAGGATTTGCATAGTTTGCCAATGTTGCATCTCATATTACCTTGCTTATACCTTCGTGCCTTGAGTTTATAGCCCCGGCCTAATGAACTTAATGAGGACCGTCTCACTTACTCTAAAAGAAGATACATAGGCCTTAGGGCTCTCGTGTCGCCACCGGTAGGCCCTGCATACAATACTCCTAACGTGCTACTCGTCTTTTCTGATAATATTCTCCGATAATATTCATAAATATTCGTCTTGTCGAATGGAATCCAACGGTTACGAATCCAATAGCTACTAAAACCTAGCAATCAGCCATACTACCAAGACCAGCATCAGCACGCGTCACATGAGCCACGTTTCTCAAACTGCTTGAAGAACGGATCCTTCCTTTTTAGCGGATGCACCCACTTGAGCATGCAACGGGTGATGTGCGGAAGATCCGCGCTGAAGGCGTCCGCCAACCACTGGTTCCAATCCCAAGTGACCCAGTCACCCCACGGGTCCATCTCGGCATCCTTCACCCACCAGCGCACAATGGGACTAATATACGTCCCCGGGAGCAGATCGGAGGCCAGACACTTGCCCAAATTCACATCAAACCACGAGCGGCCGACGCGCGCGAGCCCGAAGTCAATCACCGTGACGCGCAGCGGGCCGGGAGCCTTGTCCTTCCCGCCCTTCTTATCTCGGGGATGCGGCCGGGTGATGATCACATTCCGCGGATACACGTCGCAGTGCCGGAGGTCACAGGCGTAGAACTCAGACTCGATCGTCACGATGCGCCGCATGATGGCCTGGCGATCGGCGAGCGAGAACGACCCCGGCCGCAGCTGGCGCATGTCCGTGCCGTCGACCAGCTCCGTCAGGACGAGGCGCACCTCGCACGACTCCTTGCTGGCCGGGTCGGCGGTGTGCGTCGACCACGACCCGTGGTACTGGGGGATGTGCTGCTGCAGCCCGTGGTCCAGCAGGTGGCGGTACGCCGCGGACTCGCGCACGTACTGCGTGTCCATGAAGTGCACCGCCTGGGTCCACGTCCGGCCCGACGACGCGCCCAGGTACCGCGGGTCGTACAGTTTGGCCACCATCCGCGGGCCCAGCTCGTCCGGGTCCCGGTGCAGCGACCCCGCGTGCTTGGGCGGCCGTCCGCTCAGCACCTCCTGCACCACGGCCACCTGCGCCGAGTACCCGGATCCCACGCGCAGGCCCTTGCACACCCGCAAGCGCCGCTCTTTCTCGCCGAAGCGGCCGGGGAGTGGGTTCTGCGAGTGGCTGAACTCGTGGTCATCCGGGGTCTCGCTGGGTGGGTGGTGTTCGCGGATCACGAACTCAAAGCCCAGGTGGTAGGGGGTTTGGGGGGACATCGTGGCTGGTTGACAGTGTCGCAGAGGATCCTTCTCGTAGACTTGGATTGCGGATTTTGCCGGGTGGGGGAGGGGGGTATTTTATATACTGTCTGGCGCAGAAGTCGTTCCTCATGGACAAAGACATCGCGTCCCAGCAAGATCTATTGTACGTCCGTTAGTCGGTTCTTTATTGCCACAGACAAACACTGATAATACATTGTCGTCGAGGGGAGATCGCCGGATACTTCTTAGGTTTGTCCATCTTTTGTTCATAGAGGTCACATGACCGGCATCGTGCCCTAGAGGAAAGAACGCAGGGGCGGCTTCTTCACTGGCGTCTGACCTTTGTCAAGTATACCAGAGACAGTGTATAATGATGGGTTGCCATATCAAAATTTGATGCTATCTGTCTCTTACAAGATTCAAGAGGTGAAACGATGCACTAGGCCATATTTCCCCCCACTCAACAATTCTACACCACCCCCCCAACCCCATCTGTCTCTTGAAATTCCCACCTACAACCCATAATCAACATCCCCTTTGCTATACGACTCAATCGCCGAAGTATCAACCCCAATGGTAATATACCCGATCATCCCATTCCTCACGTCCTTGCCGTCAGCTGGCACCACCGAGATCACCGGGTTATACCCGCCCTCGGTATCCTGGAAGAAGACAGAGTCCTCCGCGTTGGTGGTGCGATTGATCTGGGTATGCGAGACGTACGGCTCGAGGGCCATGATCTCGCGCTCCAGCTCCTCGGCAAAGTAGATCTGGCCCGTGCTCACCGTGTGGCTGGACGTGATCGTGCCGTTCGCGCGCAGCGTCCAGTCCGTGTGCACCTGGACATGGATGTGGATTGCCCGCGCGACGTAAAAGCCTGTTCAACATTTCAAACATTAGCTCTAACCTCCTGCACTCTCAAAGACTGGAATCAAGAAGAGAAGGGCGATGTTGGACACTTACCCGGAAAAATGGTCTTCATCTCCATGACCCCCGACTCATCGGTCGGCCACATCCCCCGCAGAAATGTTGTCTCATCGGTATGCAGATCCATCGTCCCCAGCTCATAGTCCGTGATGTTGAGGTCGGTCAACAGCTCCTCAAAGGGGGTGTTGGGCGTAGGCCTAGCCAAAGCCCGTGGATTCACGGGTCGGGTTAGGCCTCGCCAAAGCCCGCGGGTTCACGGGTCGGATCCAAACCCAACCTGGTTCTTGGCGGGTTTTGGGTTGATGGGCTCAACCCGCAGATTAGGTATAGATTTAAATATCTAATCTATAGATTCTTAGCAGATACCTATAAATTATTAAACTAGATAAATACTATATAGTTAATAGATTATATAAGTTATACAGTTTCAGCTGTATTTTTAAAATATTATATTTATATTTAAAATAGTTTAGTATAGAAAATATCCAGTTACATACAAGTTTATAATAGTAAAAATTAAAAAATTATATTTCTTTATATATAATATATATTAAATATAAAATTAATTAATAATTATTATAATATAAATACTTTTTAACTCTGTCTAATATCTATACCTAAGTTTCAGGTAAAGAATTACTTTTATTATTTTAATTTTTGTTTTTTTATAGTTACTAAAACTATTTAGTTTTTATTTATATTAAAAGTAATCCTTTTTTTTAATCCATTATATACTCTGCTAGAACTGGTACTTTTAGTTTTTTAAAAACAGCTTTTTCTACCATTTTTTTTATTTATTATTATAACTATTTTTATTATTACTAATAAAAAAAACTATACTTCTTCTTTTAGTTAATTTTAATTTTTTTTAAAATTCTTTTTTAAATAATAGTCTTTTTTTTATCTTAAACTGTATTATATATTTATATAATAGTAGTTTTGATATTATAGTTATATTTAGTAAACCTTAGCAGTTGTAGTTAGAGTGGCTTAACCTGACTGTTATACCTTAACCTTAACCTGACCATAACTGTATAGTAGAGTGGCTAACAGCCAGGTTAGGTCAGGTTAATTAGAATTTTTATACCTAACTACAGTATAACTAAAAACTAGATTGTTAATTATTTTAATTATTTTTTTTACTAAAATCTATCTACTATATCTTTTTTAGTTTGAGTATAGTTAAGGTATATCTAAGTTAAGTAGTTATTAATCTAGCTATCTAAACTATTACTAAAAAGTATATAAAAAAAACTTTTTAAATAAAATAAAAATAACTTTTAAAAAAATAATAAAAAAATTCTAGTAGTATTAACAGAATTTAGCTTTTTATAAATTAGTAGCTGTTATAGTATAAAATATAAAAAAATATATAATTAAAATTTTATTTAGACTATATATTTTAACTATAATATACTATATTATTAAAATTATATACTTATTCTTAATTAGGCTATTAAAAATAACTATATAGTTTTTAGTCTATTTTTTATTTTTTATTTTAGTTTAGATAGTCTATTCATTTTTTTTTAAAACAGCTAGATTATATATTATTGTCAACAATGTGGGCAGATTAGCCAGTTGGCAACCTCAGGCTCGCCAGTTCGCAGCCTTGGGCTCGCCAGTTCGCCACCACTGCTAGGCGCCACCTCAGGGCCTGCTCGCCTGCCATTCCTGTATGCCCGCCACCTTAAGCCCTGCCTGCCACTGCAGATATGCCTCAGGCTCGCCAGTTTGCAGCCTCAGGCCAGTTAGCAGCCTTAGGCCAGTTGGCTGCCTAAAACAACCAGTTGGCGGACTAATGTTCCAAGTTCCGCCTACCCTGCAGCAGAGCAAAAGGCCTTACTTTTATTAATTATTCTAGGCCCTATTTAACTACTGGTTCTATTATTCTCAGCTCTGTTCTATTTATATAATTTTTATATAATTTTTATATAAATTTATATAGTTTTTATATATTTTTAATAACTAATTAACTATAAATAAGAATAAAAAGACCCCTAAAGTTTTATTTAAAAAGTTTAAGTAATTTAATTAGTTCTAGCAGTCAGCTTATTTTTTTATTTATCTAATTATTAATTTCTTTTATTTTTTTATTTTTTTTTATTTTTATTTTACTTTTGTACTTAATTTGTATATAAAAGTAAAAGTTTAATAAAATCTTTCTAAACAACCTTAAAAAAAAGTTCTTAATTATAAATTAAAATTTTAAATAAAATTGATACTATATTATCTATTTAGTTTTAAGAACTTTTCTCTGAGGTTGCTTAGAAAGACTTTATTAAACTTTTACTTTTATATACAAATTAAGTATAAAAGTAAAATAAAAATAAAAAAAAAATAAAAAAATAAAAGAAATTAATAATTAGATAAATAAGAAAATAGGCTGACTACTAAAACTGATTAAATTACTTAAACTTTTTAATTAAAACTTTAGGGGTCTTTTTATCCTTATTTATAGTTAATTAGCTATTAAAAATATATAAAAACCATATAAATTTATATAAAAATTATATAAAAATTATATAAATAGAACAGAGCTGAGAACAATAGAACCAGTGGTTAAATAGGGCCTAGAATAATTAATAAAAGTAAGGCCTTTTGCTCTGCTGCGGGGTAGGTGGAACTCGGAACATTAGTCCGCCAACTGGTTGCCTTAGGCAGCCAACTGGCCTGAGGCTGCTAACTGGCCTGAGGCTGCAAACTGGTGAGCCTGAGGCATATCTGCAGTGGCAGGCAGGGCTTAAGGTGGCGGGCATACAGGAATGGCAGGCGAGCAGGCCCTGAGGTGGCGCCTAGCAGTGGTGGCGAACTGGCGAGCCCAAGGCTGCGAACTGGCGAGCCTGAGGTTGCCAACTGGCCAATCTGCCCACATTGTTGACAAGTCTTTTTTAGTAACTGTACTTACTAGAAATTATTAAATTAAAAACTAAATATTAAATTTTAGTAGATTTTTATAATAGTTTTTTTTAAATTTTTTTTATACTTTAATTTATTATATTTAATTAAGCTTTGCTTAAAATAAGAAAAACTTTTATATTTTTAGATTTTAAATATAATTTTTTACTTATAAAACAGCTAGGTCTAAAAAGTACTACAGATATTTTTAGTAGTATATAAAAATATAATAAATTATATTTCTATAAAGATATATATATAATTAAAATAATATTTTTTTATCAAGTTTTCTACTTTTATTTTCTTATATTTATTATTTATAGAGTAGTTTTAGAGTTATAAGTTAACTACAGTTATTTAATTTATTTTTAAAAAATAGTATCAAGCTTTTTTTTTATTTTTTAAAATTTTATAAACTATGATAATCTTTAATTTAAAATAAGTTTTTTAAGTCAGCTTTTTTTTATTTTTTTTAAATCTGAAGATTATATATATTATCTAAAACTAAAAATATATTTTATATTTATTTTTTTAAAATAAAATTTTTATTTTTTAAAATTAGTAGTAGAAGATTAGCTTTTTTAAAACTTATATATATATTTAAAAACTATTATTTATTTTTAGTTAAATGAAGTTATTAATAATATAAAACAGCTTTTAAAAAAGTACAGTTTCCTAAAAAACTTTTTATATTTATTATAAAGTATATTTTTATATTGCATAATATTTAAAATTTGAAAATTTAGAAACTAGTTTTATAAGCTATTATATTTATAAGGGTTATAAAAAAATATTATTAATTATCCTTAAATAAATAATCATTTAAAGATTTAATAAAAAACTATTATAAATATTTTTTTTTAAAAAACTTTTTTCAAGAATTATTTTCTTTTAGGCCTCTACAGTCTATAATAAGTAAAATTTTTAAAATTAAGTTTTATATATTAGAATTATTTATTATTTACTATTGTAAATAATTAAGTATATTTAATTTAAATAAATAATTAATTTTATTATTTTATTTCTCTGCTGAAAGCTAAGCTCTTTTAATTAAATATAAATTAAAAAATATTTTTTAAAGTTATTAAAAAAAATATATAGTTATTATTAAAGTTTTTAAATATTAAATATATATTAATTATAGTAGACTACTAGACTAGTTTTAATTAAAAATATTTTTTATTTTAATTAAATATTTTTAATAAAAAATATAGATTACTATAAAGTTTTATTAGACTTTTAACTAGTATCTAGATTCTACACTAGTAAAAATCTAGCTGTAATTATTTTATTAATTTTATATATATAAGGGCTAAAGGGTGAAATAGTGTGATAAATAAATAGCTTTTGTAAAGCCAAGGGTGCTAATATATTACCTTAAGGTGTTGTTGCTGCCTTATCTAACTTATAAGGCAGCTACTGCTTTTAAAGGCGGCTGCAGCCGGCTTGTTTAGCTATTATATAATTACTATTTTAAATTATCTATATATATTTTTTTTTATAAATATCTGTAAAGATTAAAAAAACTATTTAAACTTTTATAACTGTTTTTTTTTTTTATAAAAAAATATTGCCTTTTATAGTAGTGCTATTAAAACCTCTACTTTATAAATATTTTTATAAAAAACTAAAGTAGTAAAAAAAATAGTTTACTGTTTTATATTTCTATAAAAATATACTATACTGTTTTTACTATTATTTTTATAAGACTTTTTTACTAATATATAGTCTATTATTTATTAGTTAGTTTTTTTATAATAGCCTATAAATAGCCTCCCCTATAATTAAAAAAACTTTTTTTTAGTAAATAGTATTAAATTTCTTTTAATTTATCTATTCTAGCTGTTTAAAATACTTTACAGTTAAAACTAGTAAAGCTAATTTTATAAAAATAAAATCTTTTTTTATATAAAAAGATTTTTTTTTTTAGGCTTTTAGCCTTTTTTTTTTTTACAACTTTTTTTTTTCTTTTTTTTAGTAAATTTTTTTATATAGTATTTTTTTTTTAGGTACTTCTGTAAGTTGATGTTTAGCTAATTTTTTTTTTATAATAATATTTAAAATATTTTATTAGTTTTTTTTATAAGGGCTTAGCCCTGTTTTTTCTCTTTTATAAAAGCTAACTAATTTTTTTTTATAGTATATTATTTAAGTTCTATATCTGCAGGTTCTATTAGCCTATTTTATTTTATTTTATTTTATATAAGTTATTTATAAAATAGATTTAGACTTAGTTAACTGTTTACAGTATATTTTACTATTTTTTTTTATTATAAAAAAAATATTTTTATTACT